AAGTGGTCTGGGTGCCTGGAGTCTCCCTTTAAGTCTAGTATCCAGTGCCTGATTGATCAACCCTATATCCTTCCGTTGCTTAGAATTTTGAAAGAGGATGCTTTGGCTGCTGATTGGCAGAGAGTGTCAGCTTGTGCTCTAAGCCAATCAAGAACCATTTGTATTTTTCTCAAGAAGGTTTGTTATTGGGGAGATACTTTTTGGTTTTGAGTCAGCTTAGGCTCTCAACCAATCAGCTTTCTCTCTCAAAGTTCTGAGCATTAGAAGTATTAGAGGCTGGATACTGTACTTTGGGGTTAAATGATTTAACACCTAAAGGTAAGTGAGCACCAGGGACTTATTTTCACCATTACAACTTCATTCCAATTAAGTTGGTATAGTGCCCAGAGTGTTCCTTTAAGCAACCTTATTCTAATTTAGCCCATTTGACATGTTATAATGTTTATACACGATTGTCCTTTTATAATGCTGAATTTGCATGATACAGACACTGATTTCCCTTGGCCTCTACACTGGGTGCACATCAGTGGGCGGGAATGTTGTTCAGAGCTTGACCTGGATAGCACATTTGTTTATGGAAATTGTAGAGTAAAGCTTAGTAAAAGTCTTATCCCATATAAATATGTAGATTGCAAATGAGAACTGCACCTGGCATGTCTTACATGCAATAAACAAGGTTTGGAAATCGGCACAAGTGGCATATTAATGTCGCTATTTGATTAGCACTTGACCTTGTCACTTCATCTAAAATGATCAGAAAAGGGTAATGCTTCTCCTATAATTAAAGGGACACTATAGTCACCAGAACAACTACAGCTTATTGAATTTGTTCTGGTAGAATCATTACCTTCAGGCTTTTTTCTGTAAACACTGTCTTTTTAGAGAAAATGCAGTGTTTACATTACAGTCTAGTGCAGTGATGGCAAACCTTTTTGAGCCCGAGTGCCCAAACCGCAATACATGCCAACTTTTTGTCTCCTTAAAGTGCCAACACGGCAATTAAACCCAAATACTGAGGTTTAAGTTTAGAAAAAACAACTCGTACTCTTGTCCGAACTAATAACTTTTGTTT